TGCCTGGTAACGATCGGCGTGCTTTTGTTGTTGGGGTAAAGCTCCGTTCTCTACTTTACGCCATCCCGTTTCATCTCACCGTAGGTTCCTAACTTCTCTTCCCTGCTTCCCTTTGTGTAGTTAAATAGAATATTCCATCTTTCTCACTTAAAACTGCACCTGAGGAATATCATCCTCCCCTTTGTTCTCTGCCCTTATAAAATGTTGCCTAATGCCAGATTGGTGGAACACACCCTTGGTTGTCATCATTCAGGTGGCAGAGGCCCGTGAGTTTCTGTGGGTTTGAATCAGCGTAGTCTATATAAGAAGTTCCAGGGGCTAGCCAGGACTAAGAAGTGAGACTTTGTCTCAAAAAAAAAAAAAAGTTGCCTATAAAAATTGAATTGTTTTTCCTTTCAAAAAATTAGCATATAAAGTTCTTTTTTGAGCACTTAGCAAATTGTTTTGCTCTTGGAGAATACACAAAACATAACAATATTCATCACCGTTTGAGACCATGATATCATATTAAGTAAAACATCACGGACTGCATTCCTGTGCCTGACGGATTGGGATCTGAAATAACAGAGAGCATTTCCCCTTCAGCGCGAAGCTGAAACGTGAGCCTGTGAAGGTGCCCATCTGTAAACCTCTAATCTTCTCCGTTGATGAGACAATGACCCCTTTGCCTGGCAGGCTTTGTTTTTTCTCTACTCGCTAAAACAATAAGGCATCTGTTGATACTGTCAGGATCACATTCTTTTTCTCTTAGGATTCTTTCACCTTACAGGAAGAGGGTTACGAGCCTTAGGTGTATTACACACCGACATATGCACAGTGTGGTCACACAGGCTTGGCAGTCACCTTCAGGACCTCCCTCAGAAGACACCGTGTGTATTCACGAGTTGTACTTTTCTCATTGCTCAGTGCAAGTCAGAACCTCATCCATGCTGGGCGAACACTCTCTGTAATGAACTGCACCCTTGGCCCATTCTCCTAGCGGCTCAAGTATCCTGCTTTCGGTATTATAATACCAAGTAGATGAAGAGAGGGCAACTAGCGTAGACCGTCACGCTGTAGTCAGAACTAATGCCTGTGGATTTGATACTCACTAAGCATTTTCTTTGGGCCAAACAGTGCAGGGCTGACTAATCACTACAGAGACAAATCACCCGGTAACTGCCTGTAAGCAGGGCACCTCACAGATACAGCCATGTGTACATGGTAATATAGTCATGCCTCTCACAGGGATGTTTCAGTCAACAATGGAACATGCCTATACATACACAACAGCAATTCCTTAGACTGTGTCCTAGTGACCCCACAGCCGACTTCTTGGGTCTAACAACAAAGTCTCCTAACCGCACATTTCTCAGGATGGATCTTCATGATTAAGCAACGTAGTTGTATGGGTTTTACTTTTTTATTGTTTTCTATTCAAAACTAAGCTTTTTTTTTTAAGCAGATATAAGCCGTAGTGCCCTGTGGATGAACACCAAGGTTGTTGCCAGCATATGACTCCCGGAGAATCCTGTGGGAGCTCAGTCTGTGTATAAGGGTAGAATGGCTAAATTGCATAATACAGCTTTGTTGTTGAGGTGTTACCTCTTAACAATACTAGTATTCGCCAGGTGGTGGTGGCACATGCCTTAAATCCCAGCACTCAGGAGGCAGAGCAAGCTTGGATATAGAAAGAGACAGAAACCAGAGCTCGCCTGTGCAGTGGGGTTTGCAGTCCCCATTCTACTGCTCCCACAGATCTCAATATTGATAACACCTGTGTTCTCAGAGCCACTTCACCTGGGTCAGGATCCATCTCTGTCTCTTTATGTAACATGTTCTGGGATGGCCTCATGCCACCACACTCCAGCTGCAATGGTTGGTCTACTGATGGCTTACTGTCCTCCTCTGGTGTTTCAGACCTGGGACAGTCACTTTTCTAAGCAGGTCACGCTGACTCTTTTGTGCCCAAGGATAATGGTAAAGCCATCATCCTTCTGGGGTCTGAAGCTGATTGGGGAAGGAACTAAGAGAGTAGCTGAGTGGAGAGAAAATGCAGGCTAGGAGGAAGGCCCACTTGCCTAGATAGCAGAAGGTTGGTGAAGAAGCCCCTTTTGTACTTGGGCTCTCCCCATTTTTGTTCCCACACTTTTTCCAGCTTCTTCTCTGTGTGACTGTCCAGACAGATACAAGTTCAGACTGAGCATGTCATGAGTTCTCCTTTAGCCTCCTGGGCAAGGCTCTGACCTGTGCCCTATGGGGTATAGGGTTGTAAGCAGGATTCCCTATTGGTGTGGCCTGATTTCAAAGCCTTATTTTTGAGAATATTAGCATAGCCAATGAAAACCATGGCTGTGGAGATGTCTCTGTTGGTAAAGTATTTGCCACGTGAGCATGAGGACTTGTTTGATCCTGAGCACCCACATAAAAGCCACGAACAGTTGTACACATCTGTAATCCCAGCCCTGGGGAGATGAAGACTGGAGGAGGATCCTGGGGGTTTACTGGTCAACCAGTCTAACCAAACCCGCAAGCTCCAGGTTAAACAAGAGACCTTGTCTCCAAAACTAAAGTAGACAGTCATCAAGGAAGATATACAAGATTCACCTATGGCCTCCTACAGACACACACACACACACACACACACACACACACACACGTCAGCAGAAGTAAAGCCAAGGTGATAGATTAGAGTGAATCAGTGATTCCTACCACTGTGACCCTCTAATACAGTTCCTCACGTTGTGGGGACCCCCAATCATAAGATTATTTGTTGCTACTTCATAACTGTAACTGTGCTACTGTTATGAGCTGTAGGGTAAATATCTGCTATGCAGCCCACCGTTAAGAACCATGGAGTCAGGGATGCTGGGCAGGCCCAACCCACCCCAGAGTGCTGCCTGTAGTGCACACGGACAGCCCCTGGGCTACACAGCAATGTACCCACTTCCCTCTCTCGCCTGCAGCTCAGCTGTCCTGTTTGCCTCACCTCTTCCAAGCCGTCATTGACCGAGGTTATCTCCGGAGATTAGGCTACTCCTCCTGGGACATCCATTTAAATGATGTGTCCTCCCCAGGTCACTGAGCGTTACCTCATCTTCAACATCCCTTATGGCCACTGTGGCACCATCAGGCAGGTGAGAGGCTGACAGCGAAGCCATGGCCTTCATGGATGCATGCAAGAAGGGAGGCTTAGAAAAATGAAACTTCCTGTTAAAATGTGCGGAAGATAGAAGAAGAAGCTGCTTTGTTTCTGAAGTGGCTCACTGATCTGTCTGATGTTCCCCCATTTGGAGAATTTCAGACACACCACACATCCTGAGAAGCTGCAGAACGAGTGTTGAGTGCAGTGGTGTGGACAGCGTGTTGAGTGCAGTGGCGTGGACAGTGTGTTGGGTGCAGTGGCGTGGACAGTGTGTTGGGTGCAGTGATGTGGATATTGTGTTGTGTGCAGTGGCATGGGCAGTGTGTTGGGTGCAGTGGCGTGGACAGTGTGTTGGGTGCAGTGATGTGGATATTGGGTTGGGTGCAGTGGCGTGGACAGCGTGTTGGGTGTGATGGCTAGACAGGTGATGACTGGGCTGACAATATTCTCCCAGTTTCAAAGCCAGCAGTTCCCATAACGTGCTTCTTGACTGCATGTTAGAACATATCCACCATGACTTGCAGGGGATGAGGGAGGACAGGTTGTCTGTCTGCTATGTCTCTAACTAAGCAGCTAGTTATATTTCACACTATAGGAAGCAAGCATCTAGGATATTCTGGAGCCATTAAATACATGTGTCTATTAAATCTCTGCAACCACCTTCTTAGAGCATGAAACAATGGCACTGATATTTAGGACACCCATGTATGTATGGAGGAACTGTTACACCATTACACCCCAGTCAGTATATCTCCATCAATATATGTCTCTGTCAGGCATCTTACATGTCTCTCCCAGACACTGATCAAGATGGAGCATACAGCAGCCTAGACAACCTCCCTTGAATCCTCCAAGACTTCATTCAGTACTTTGCTAGGCACCCATCTGTTCTAGCCTAATCCTCCCCTCCTTTCTAGTTTCCCTCTCCTAGGGCAAATCCTCGGGACTTTAGCTCACACTGATAAGTCGATGTGTTTTCCTGAGCTAAGCTCTTGTTAAACCAGCCAGATGTCTTCGAGCTCATTTGGTCCAGCAGTGAATTGCCAACTGAGAACGCTGAGAAGTTGTTTGCCTCTGTGGCTCCCTCATATCTTAACAGGTGTTATTGCATATCTTTCTCTGGGGACATTACACACGTCTAATTTTTCCTGATAACACAACGATAACTCCACCCAAAACTTCATCAGTGTCCATCTTGGTGAACCAGTAAGTTCACCGGGCTTATTTGCAGAAGCAAGAGTAAGGAGTTGCACCTCAAGTGTGCCACCCCAGCATAGATGGCATAGCCCTGTGAATGCTGCTGAATGATGTGAATGATGGGGCCCCTTTCAGTCAACCTTCTACCTCTCCTACCCCAGTGCTGCTGAGACCACATGAAGCTGGGGTTGGGTGGGAGGGAGTGGTTGGAATCAGCTGAGGAGCTAATGGCCTTTCCGTTCCCTCCCTGTATGAAGGGATGTTAATGGCCTTGTGTGGGGATCTCCTAGGTAAAGATGATCTCGGCTGCTCTGCTTTCGAGTTGGCAGTGGTCATGGCTGGAGGACACTGGCTAAAAATGCTCATGAAGGGATAACTGGTTTACTCAGTGGCTTTAGTGTGGTAAGAGCCACAGCAGCCTTAGGCCCATGGGGAACAGTGAGGCACCTGTTGCCAAAGATCAACAGAGGAGCAAGACAGCACCTGCCACAAGTTTCTGTGAGCTGGGCTTGAGAGGCATAGACTAGAGGGCGCTCGAGAGGGAGAAGGTTCCTCCTGCCTTCTGACGCCTCTTTTTTATTATTATTATTTATTAAATATTTCTGTTTCTTCCCCGCCATCGCCTCCCCTTTCCCTTCCCCTCCCCCAATCAAGTCCCTCTCCCTCATCAGCCCAAAGAGCAATCAGGGTTCCCTGCCCTGTGGGAAGTCCAAGGACCACCCACCTCCGTCCAGGTCTCGTAAGGTGAGCATCCAAACTGCCTAGGCTCCCACAAAGCCAGTACGTGCAGTAGGATCAAAAACCCATTGCCATTGTTCTTGAGTTCTCAGTAGTCCTCATTGTCCTCTATGTTCAGCGAGTCCGGTTTTATCCCAGGCTTTTTCAGACCCAGGCCAGCTGGCCTTGGTGAGTTCCCTATAGATCATCCCCATTGTCTCAGTGTGTGGGTGCACCCCTCGCGGTCCTGAGTTCCTTGCTCATGCTCTCTCTCCTTCTGCTCCTGATTTGGACCTTGAGATTTCTGTCCGGTGCTCCAGTGTGGGTCTCTGTCTCTGTCTCCTTTCATCACCTGATTCAGGAGGATCTGACTTCTGACTCCTCTTATGGTCATACTATTAAGGGTGAGTTCAGTTGGGTGTCAGAACGTTACAACCAGCACACTATTCTTCTTACTTTAGGCTTAATTTGTCCCTCTTTCTCTAGCCTTTAAATCTTTGGTTGATTGGACATCTTTACAAATTATATGCATTTTAATACTATATAAATCCTCCCAAGTGTTACCTTAGCAGGATCCCACAAATTTTGGTAAGTTAGGTATTGTATTGTTTACTTTTCTATGGCTGTGACAAAACATGGTGACCAAGGAAACTTGTAAAGAAAGTGTTTAATTTGGCTTATGGATTTAGAGGGTTAGGGTCCACGATGGCAGTGTGAAGGGACGGAGGCAGGAAAAGTGGAGTGCTTACATCCCAATTCAGAAGTAGGATTCAGACAGAGAACACAGGGAACAGTACTAGTCTTTTGAAACCTCAAAGCCTACCCCCAGTGACACACATCCTCCAACCACCAACTGGGGTCCAAGCATTTAAAAGTGAGCCTCTGTGGGCTCTTCTCACTCACAACACAGGCACCATTTTCAGTTCTTTCAAAACAGTCCTAGATTTCTCTTAGGATATTTCTGATACAAAAGTTGCCTGAAAATATACCGTCTACTTCCACGTATTTGAGAATTTCCCAGAAAGATTGCTGTCATTAATTTTAAGTTTAATTCCATTGCTACCTGACAATGTCTTTCTATCCTTTCAAGACTATTAAAGTATTTCTTATGGGCTGGAACATGGTCTGTCCTAATGAATATTCTACCTGGATTGAGAAGAATGTGCATTTTACTGTGGTTGGATAGACTGTTTAATTAATGTCAACAAGATCTAGTAGATCAACAGTGTTCCTCGGGTCCCTTATTCCCTTACTGCATTCCTCCCCATTGGATCTATGGTTGAGAGAGGGATAGTGAAGCATCCAGTTACTACAGTGGGTTTGTCAGCATCTCACTTCGGTTCCCTTTGCTTCCCATATTTAACACTCTGCCTGCAGGTGTGTTATATTAATGATTATTATATTGGGATACAGATTGTTCCTTACCTCGATTATCTCGGGTAAGGATCTGCTCCTAGAGGGTTGACCCTTTCTTTTGTTGTTACCAAGCACCCATCTTGGCCCTGACAGTTCTGCGCGCTCTGAAGTTTGTTCTGAACGAAGGAGCAGCTGCCATGCTGCACTCCCTCCATCTCAGTGTCGGTGTCTGTGCACTGACAGCGGCTGTCTTGTAAAGAGCACGTAGCTGGAGGATTTGTGGATTCTCCTGTAACCTATTCTCTGTCTTCACATTGGTGTAAATATGAACCGTTCATACTTAACATTCTCATCCAAGCAGTTGGATTAGACTCCACCACCATTTGTTATATTTGTCTTATGTTCTTTCCCTGCCCTGTGCCTACCTATTCTAACTTCTCTGATTCTTTTGAACTATACATTTACATAACAACACTTTATCTCCTCTTAATATACCACGTATGTCACCCTACAGTTTACAAGACACTTTCTTTGGGTAGTGTTGGGAACTGAACTCAAAACATCGGGGTGGTAAGTAACCAAGCCCTCGTCCACTGACTTGCATTATCAGGCCTATTATAAATTTTTTATATAATCTCGGTGCATTTTAAAATGTAACAGCCACGATATAATCTGCCCTTTAGGCAAAATACGGTAGAGCTAGAAGGCAAAGGTTACAGCTAAAACCTTGACTTGTTTTTACTGTATTTAAATGTCTCCCTTCTGTTTATGACTAGGTATAGGGTTTCCATTAACAATGGTGTTAAAACTGTAGGTGGTGGTAGTAGTAGTAGCATAGTAGTATAGTAGTAGTAGCTGCTCATAAAGGCAAGGGGAGTGGGAAGAACTCTCTTTGGGATTCGGAACCTTAGAAGCCAACCTGGTTACGTGGGATAAAGGAAATTCATGCCATGTGTTAGTAACCTTTTAGGTCTGGGTTTTCTTCTTTATTGGGTGCATCAAAGACAATTCCTACTCCAACCTCCATACCCCTGGAAAGAATGTGGCCCAGTTCAAGTTCAACGCCTTCAGCTTCCTCAAAAGCTTCGATGTGGTCTACCTGCAGTGTAAGGTTCTGCCTGCTGAATCGGGGACCACTCTTCGAGATGCTCACAAGGTTGTCCGAGGCAGGGAGAACCGGCACAGGCTCTGCAGAGGCCAGCAAAGAACCAATTGAGTACTTCCAAACAGTAGGGCCACTGAAGATCCACAGAGCAGGTCATAAGAGAAAGGCCCTGGTATGATCTCTCTCGCTGGCACATGAGTGAGTCGAAAAACTGGAATCAAGGTCTGTTTCTTACCAGGAAGCAATGTTTGGCCACTCAGAAGCCAGACATTGGCCACACTGTCTACTCCATCCATTCAGATGGGCAGAAGCCAAAGGATTTATTCTCTGGGCTTTGTCACTAACCAATCCATTGATTTTGAAATGTGTAAGAGGTACTTGTGATACTGAGGGAGCATGTGCCTGTAACAGCATTGCTTTCTGTTACCACAGAGTGTACCTTCAAGTATTTAACAGAACCCTGGCTGAGCACCCTTTCCCCTCTGACACTGTAGACTGGGGAGTCCACAGAGGACGCCTTGGGCATGAGCTGTCTCCTACTCACACAGAGTATGGCTATTGCTACCCCTTCCCACTCACTGGGGAGCTCACATGTCCCCTCATTCATTGTCAACGGCTGTGGGAAAAGTCCAATGGGTCAAGAGAATAGACTCCATGGAGGACAGCTGACAGGGATGGGAGACAAGAGATGTCTGAAGTTTGGGAGAGGCAGGCTGTCAGCAGTAATGGTGTCTTTTCTTGGGACTTAGATAGTGGAGACCAGAGCTGAGCCCAGCCAACGCTAGCACCTTCTTCATGATTCTCATGTCTCATAGGCCTGTAGCAGCCACTGGGGTGCAAGTCATTCTTCCTTGCTTGAAGTGGCAACCTGGGTTCACATGCATAGCAATTGTAGGAGAGGAAAAGATAGGGAAGGAGCAGGAGCTTTACCCCAAGGCTGGTGTCACATGTGTGATGGGCTTCAGCTCCGGACTTTCCCATACAGCCCTCATGACTGTAGAAGCTCACTGGAAAGAACAATTCAAAACTAATTTTGTGTGTGTCTTTTCTAAGATTTGCAAATCGTGTAGATGTCGAAAGCTGTATTGAATCAAGCAAAATCATTCAAGGAAAGATCATCGGGGTCAAACACATTAATGCCAAGACTTGTACCCTCCATTACTGTGACGAGTGTAGCATCTGTGCAGACTCTGGCACCCTGCCACCTTGTTTTTGTGACACCAACAAAGGACCCTGACATGGCTGAGGCAGAACCCAAATTTATCACAATCAGTATTTCTTTGTCAGTAGAATATTTAAGTTTTCAAATTATTTTGTTATGTTTGTACTCTTATTTACTCTCTAATATGGTTTTTTGTTCTTTGTATAAATGCACAATATTAAAAATAGTCTTATACCTTCACATGGTGGTGCTGATGGTTATGAACGTCCTTTTTTCCTAATGTTTTAGCTCATTTTGAGGCTTAAGTCTATATTACTATATTGCAATATAAGCAGAGAATTAGAGTAGAAAATAAAAAAGGGGCATGTAGGCAATACTAAAGATGGGATATCATTTTGTGAAATGCCTAAATTTTAGAAGTTTTTAAAATTGTGTTTAAGACTAAAACTTCCTAAAGCCAAGAGAAAAATGATTCCTCTGGGATGACTTTTTCAGGGCTGAATTCTGATTGAATTTTCCTACATAGGTTCCTTTTCTTTTTCTTACTTACATCCTTTTTAAACTGTACTGTACTTAAAATTTAATTTTTTAATTGAAAATAGATTTTTCCATATAATCTATTCTTATTGTGCTTCCAGATAGCCCAGCTCCTCCCAGATCTTCCTCAACTTCCCACCCACTGAAGCCCATACTCTTTCTTGCTCCCCTTCATTAGAAAACCACAGGAATCTAAAGAAAAAATAAAATAAGAACAAATGAAATCAAGTGAGACAAAACAAACAGAAAAATAAAGAGCCAAGTAAAATGTACAAGAAACACACACAGACCTAGAGACACACACTGGCACACACAGAAATAGAACTTCTATGGAAGTCTACCGACAGAACCCAGTACTTGTTCAGTCCATGAAGCTGGATGCCTCAGCTGGTCTTCAGTATACACCAGAATCCTGGAAAACGCAGGCTCTGATGCCAGGGAAGGAATGGACTTGCAAGAAACAACGGGGAGCAGGAGGGGTGGGGGTGAAGAACAAAGGGCAAAATTCCTTCCCCCATGTCCTTCTGCAGGCTACCACCAGGTGGTGGGGCCATGATTAAAAGTGAGTCTTCCTACCTCAAATGATTTAAGAAAAAAAAAATCCCTCACGCCTGCTGGATTTTAATTAATTCCAGATGTAGTCAAGTTGACTACCAAGAATAGCCATCACAAGTCTAACCCCTTCTCAACTGACACACAATGATATCTCCTTACGTCATCCTTAATTCCCAAATGAACGCAATAGCCAGGTCATTATTACACCCAACCTGATCTAACTACCCATGTACAAGTCCAAACACATCCTATATTTAACCACGTCATAATTACATGAAATGTGATATAACTATTCCTCATACAACTGCAAATGCACTATACATTCTAGAAGAAGTGGTGATATCCCTTGAAGGACATTCTTTTAGTGTCTCAAACTTAAACATAATAACCACTGGTATTCTCTTAATTGATGTTACAGAACCTGATAAGAAATTAAGGAAGGAAAACACAAATACTTGTACAAACACATTCCTAACAATATTACAGAAACACTCATGTCAATTATAATCCATAGTTTCATTCCTGATGGGTCTGTGTCCTTTGTCTCCCTGCCTGGATTAGGCTGTAGCTCCCCATTGGCTCTAATTGCAGGGCATGGTAGCACCAAGGGATACCTAAAGTCTTACACTTCAGACATAATTTTTCTTACCTCCATTGTGGAGAATCAATCCAATTGTTCACGGTGATCTTCATCAATCACTCTTCCTAACACTGTCGTGCTTTGGCTGAAGGGCATCGGAAGCCCAAAGTGGCCAGGGGGAAGCCCCGAGTTTCAGTCTAATGGATTGTTTGTTGTTGTCTCCTGGCCGGAGTGCTGCCCCTCCTGGGACTAAAGCATCTAGGCCAGAAGAACTTAAGGTCATGGGAACTGGAAGCAAAAAGGTTCTAGTGGAACCACTTAGAGGCTACAGTAAGTGGGACCATTCCTTTTTCTACCCCTCGATTCCTGCACCCATGAATTCCAGCTGGAGGAGCGCACATCCCACATACTGGACGCTGAGTCAAAGCATATACCCTGTGGAGAACTCTACCCCGGCCCTTCAGGCTACTGCCACCTAATTGACTTTGTGGTTGTGTCTTCTAAGGCCATCCCATCTTTCTGTCAGGGCTGCTGCTTCAGGACAGTGGGCCAACTATCACACTTCTCTGCCTAGGAAGTACGTTTCTGGGTCAGAAGCAATACTGTGTGGAATTCCATGGTGGAGAATAAGGTATTCTGTAAGTACACGGATGGTGATTTTGGCAGAAACGGTATATGGAAGAAAGGCAAATCCATAACCAACATCAGTATCTACGCCAGTAAGGACAAAACCTCCTTTCCATGGAGGAAGCACTCCAATGGCCTCTGAAGTTCGTTTCAGCTCTTGTAAAGTGCTTTGCCACAACGGCATCCTACCTAATGTGTCCTGGCCTGGAACACTTGGGCACACCTCATAGGTCCAACGTCAAAGAGAGAACTGGTTTCATCATGTGATTTCCTTTGAAGGTCAATTTTTTACCAAGCCTGGAAGATGGCGTTGTGATCTGGGAAATATGAATGGCGTACCATTTTCCTGTTTACAGTGCGCGAATGTGGATGATATTTCTCCAACCTATTTAAGTGTATGCTCATCAACACGCGCTCCAGCTGTCCAGGGTAGGAGGTGGGAGAGGCTTACAGTCGAGAGCCCACAGACTTGGCAGAGAGCAGCACACAGGGTCATGAGGAGCTCCCATCACTGAACAACATAGGTCACTCAGTCCCCAGGACATAACCCTGAGGTGATTCTTTATCCCCATGTTCTACAGAAGAAGGGGCAGCAACTCTGAGCAGCAAGGGGTCCTGCCGATCATCACTCAATGGCTAATGCTGGGGCCAGAACAGAACCCCAGCTTCTCCCGCACTGCATCCCAGGGTAGAGCATGGCTACTCAAGAGGTTCCCTTGTCAGTCAAAGAAATTTGAGCAAAATTGGGTTCAACCAAAAATTCGAAATCTCTGTTACTATGCGACATTTGAGAAAACGTAATATATTAGTAGAAGGAATTAAAAAGAGGGATTTGACCTTTCTCCAACACATCAAGCCAGGCCATTCCTTCCTTCCCCTTTCCATGCCTCTGAATGGGTGTCTGATCCTGTGAGACACATTTGAAGCCTGTGTCTCTGCATTATTTTATAAAATTATAGATCAGAGTTTTGTCTGAGATGTCTGAAGTCTCAGGATGGTTGTTAAAGAATAAAACTGGTTGGAGAGCCCATGATAAGAATGTGAGTAAAACCACACCATGGTAGTCACCAGATGTCGTGTCGAGAGAAAGCAAACAGAGGCTTGGGAAGTGGCCCAGTTGGTAAGGTGTTTGCCATGTAGGCCTCAGATGTGTGCCTCTACATCCAAAGCAATGAGCTCAGCAATAAACCTCTCCAACTCACATCTCAGGAGCTGAGACTGACCAGAAGCTTGAGTGCAGTGCTCAGATCCTTAGCTCCCAGCTGGCGGAATGTCCAACCTAGTGCAGTGCTCAGATCCCTCACTCCCATCTGAGAGAATATCCATCTGAGTGCAGTGTCTACACCAAGCAGGACCAGTGGCCGAAATGATAAAAGGACCTATCTGGGTCTTTCTCATCTTGCAACAGAGACTCATAAGATGCATAGAATCCTATCTTGGTGACAATGTCATCACTGTGGAACACCATGATCATGTGGCTTGAAGAAGAGGTAAATACTGGGATGGTTTCTGAGGAGAATCTCCCCAGGGAAAACGATTTGCTCTGTGGACCATCAAAAATCTCAATGATGTCATAAGCACAGCCATAGAAGTTTTCTATCCTGTGGATGCTTGGATGGCAT